TTTTATTCTTATATATAGTATACACTCTTAAATTTTAAATATTATGAAAAATACTCTCTTTTATTATTATTTTTTAAGAGTAAACTATAAATTTAGTCTTTAACACTCAAATCGATCATTAGAATAAACAACATGAGGAAATGATCAGTAATTAAAACTCTAATAATTGAAAAAATGGACACTAATTATAAAGATTCAGTTACTTTTTTTCTCCTAAAACACGTATTTATTTTTGCCTAGAGAATTAGAAAGGTTAAAATGTATTTAAACCATTAATAGGTCCAAATTGTTTTATTATTTGAAGGATTATTGATTGCTAATTTATAATTTTTGAGATTATGCAGCCATTAGTCATTTTGTTTATTTGAATAATAAATTTGATTTGCCATGTATATAACTTTAAAATTATTTTATTAATTTTTATTAATTTCAACAATCAGTTTGCTAGACTCTGACAATTTCAATAATTGAATGAATAATTTATTTTATTTTTAAATAAACATTCAAATAATATGTTTTTCCTGGTCAATAATAAAGCGAATCCAATACTTTATTCACAAAATCTTTGGTCCATAATGGAGGATAATTTATTATATGGCATGTCCCAAAACCCTAATTGAACTTCATGAACAAAACAACCATTTATGTAGTAGGTATTTAATTATGAGCACGTAATTAGGGTTTTGGCTGATGACATTGTTTTGGTTTTTAGAAATTTCAAAGAAATTGAATATTAATTAACATATACATATTAATCAATAAGTATTAGAACACGTTGTTATATGCTTACTAAAAACCAAATTATTGATATTTATTATATACATCATATTACATCAATGATAATATCATGGTGATGTATCTTCTAAAATTCAACCATTTCACTCATACAATATACGAATATTGGATTTGAAATTGTACTATTACTTAAGATAACGAGAGCTTTAAACAACTTTACAACTTATTATTATATGTTTAATTTTAATATTGTATAATAGAATAATTGTTAGTATTTATTTTTAATATAAAATATATTTTGTACATTTAGTAGAGAAAATCTCGTATTGCTCTAAAAGATTTTGATCACAATTTAAGAAAAAAAAGAATTAAGTAATTAGGTTATTACACTAATTAAGATGACTAATTAAGACTTGAACATATTATATATATATATATATATATATATATATATATATATATATTAAAATACTATTTTATGAAAACTCATTATATATCCATTAAAATACTACAAAATAGGATGAAGATTAAAAAATATATAATATTTATATATTTTTTATATTTAATATCTTACTTATATCTATTTTACTCGATCACATTAGAAAGAAAAACATATATTGGATTGAAAGAACCAATCTTATTAACACCACCATAACTAAAAATTTAAGGATAATAATTAAAAATTCTTTAAAAAAATTATTATCTATTTTAAAATGAGTCTTCTTATTAGAAAAGAAAATAAGAAGTTATTTATACTTTATTCTAAGACTAATAGGTTTATTCACTTATTATATTTATCCAATAAGTTGTCTAATTAGCTTAATAGAAACTAATATCCTAAGAGTTTAAATATAAAAGAACAAAATTCCTATTATTCTAATGTCTAACATTCTTGATCTTTGTCTTGCTACTATCTATGCATACTTCCCTTCTTAAAAGAGAATTCAACCTTGAATTTGAATTTAGCTCTTTATTACCTACAAGAAAATACACAAATGTAAATCTTTATTTGTAATTTTTTTGTTTTAAAAAACAAACAATTATTTTAATAAAAAAATTATCAATCAAGGTTTTTAGTTTTTAAAACCTAAAATATTGAAAACTAATTTTAAAAATTGTCAACAAACAATAAGTTTTTTCACTTTTTATTTAAGCTCTTTCTCACCCTTTTTACGTTGCTGGATAAAAAAAATATATAGAATATACATGAAAGGGTCACTTTTAAATTTTTTTACTAAATTGGAAGAAATCGTTCACCATTTTACTAAGAAGAACTGATGCTCCCAAAGATAATTTTAGTAGTTGAAATAAAGTCTTCTTTACAACTTGTAACTACCTTGAAAAATCATTGTACAATTCTTTCCGGTTTTTAAATGCTACAATAAATGTCTTTTGTTTTCCTAGTCATGTTTTTTTATAAGTGACCATGCAACCATGTTTATCTTTTACTCCTGGAATCAAAATTTTAATACAAACAAAGAAATTAATACAAAATGACGGTAAAGTTTAAATTTTGATGATTAGAATTTAACATTATATTTAAATATGTATGAGATGTTTTAATTTTCTTAATCTCCTATTGATTACGAGTTTTATTAAATGAAGTACAAACCTTCATTGACACTCGTTATGATAACAAACAATATATTTACTAGCTTTAAACTCAATAATAGAAAATTTGTATCCCTACTCAATGTGAAATTATTTAATTATACTTACTATTGCCTATTTTGATGGAAAACATCGATATTCTCATATGTTATTTTAAATTGTATTTATTAATTAATTAGACGATTATTCATTATGTAACAGAACATCATCATTCATATGTATTGAAACTGAACAAAAGTTATCTTTTTCTTTATCATTAAAGTCTTCCAAGATATCTTGGATAACAGATTCATCAAATGTTATGGATGAGTAATCAACTTGAAATTTGTTCATCTAATTCACAAAAAAAAAAAAAGTTATAAAAAATAAGATTAATAGATATTTAATTCAATCAGTCGAAGATAAATAAGTAATTGCAAATAAAATTAACTGATATTTAATTGAACTAACTAAAATTGAAATATTTACCTTCTAAAATTTATCTTCAATAACTCAATTACAATAAACTTATGATCTTCACACGCAAATATACACTTCAAAAACCCAATTTTAATAGTTATGTAATATTGTGATTCATTCAAAGCTATCGTACCAATTATACATAGTCATGATATATACTTCATATACTGTATAATTATATTGTTCACCCGGTCACCTTAACTTGTATTTCTACATTGTCTACCTTGTAGCATTCCACTGATTTAGTGTACAACATGTAATAAACTCACGTGAAATTAAAACAAAAATCAAAATCGTGCAAGGAAGCACGAGTTCTTTCTAAGTGTCAAATATATTGACATGTACAATCTAGCACGATTTCAAAACTCGTACAACTTAGCACAATTTTAACAATTGCAAGGAAGTACGATTTCAATCATAACGAAAATTATGTTTCCAACTATAATTTCTTCTTGTCCATACTTTTTCATCCTTCTCTTTAATGTGCAGTGCTTTGATTTGCAGGACGCAGTGGTGCATCATCATTTACATTATGCAATATGCTCAAGAATCTTGATTAGATGGAGCGTTGGAGCTTCATTCAAATTTAAACTGAATGCATATTGGCCTACAGAACACTATCATCTGTGCCTATAAATAAAGGGAGTGTATTCAATTAATTTCATCCCTTTCTTTCTCTTATAATCAGTTTGTTGTATATTTTTTTTTCAGCAATTTGATAAGCATTTGGTGAAGTATTTTTTCCAGCATTTTGATAATACACAAATTATCTTTTATCTTTTTTATTTAATTTTTTGTCTTTTATTTTCATAAGCTACTGTTTTTTCTTTAATTTTATGTCCCTTTAATTTGTGTAGTATTTATCTTATGTCTCTGAAAAAATTTAATATGTATTTTAAAATTATAATAATTCTAATTTCACAGGTCTTATTATATAATAATATAATTTTTTAGAATCCTTTTATCGATCTATGCTACAACATTTATTAATTGTTGAGATTTATTTTACAAGTCATGTTGTAATTTGAATAATATTAAAATATTTAAAAATTGTTTCAATAAGAGTATTTTAATTACCCATTAATTATAATAAGACGAGAGTATGATAGGTTATTTACTAATTATTTTTATTTAATATTTTTTAAAATAAAATTGTTAATGAGAAAAATATTAATTATTAAAGAATTATTTAGAATTAAAATTTATAGATTTGTATTTTTATTAAAATTTATGAAATTAAAGTTAATTTTAGAAATTAATATTATTTATATTTTTATTTTGTACTACAATTTATTTGATTATTATGTTACAAAAACTAATTTTATTTTTATTAATATTTTATGATAAAAAATAACAAAATAATTATATAAAGAAGACTCCTTTGTAACCCTTTGTTTTTTCATAGGAGAGAATAATAAAATTGTTATAATTTAATAAATAAAAAATAATTATTAGAATTTATATATTTAAAAAATAATAAAGATATGAGAGAAAAAATATGAAACATAATTAATAGAGAAAAAACTGGATATGTTTAATAAATGGAGATAGAAAATAAAATAAAATTTTAAAAAAAGTACATGTTTAATGCATGTGTTTCTACTAATTCTAGAAAATAATTTTATTTAAAATAAAATAAAATATCTACAGTATCCATGGATATCTATAAATATATAAAAATCTGTAATTTTACTATCTGTGTCCGCTTTGTACTCCAACATGCATATTCTTATATCATATCATCCCAAATTGATTCATAATTATGATAAACATGACTTTTGAGATAAAAGCAAATAGACATGTCTTTTCAAAACATTAATACAACAGTGATGGAAAGAAAATTGTAAAAAATAAGCAACTAATTAACATAACAAATTTTAAAAAATTAGAGAGGATAACATATTTGTATCTTAATATTTATTTGACTCTTTATTGCCTTAAAAATCTAAGAAAATATTATTTGACTCTTTAGTCTAGAGATGTTAAGAACAATTTTCTCAATAAGTTGAACAATTTCAGTACTAACTAGTTCATCATACATTATGAGTTAAACATGTAAGTAAAGAAAAATGGAATTATATGGTTAACAACTTGTTGAAAAGAGGAAAGTGAAGTAAGCCATATAATGGTGATGAATGGTTGAAGATTCCTTCTTTCTATCAGTGAAATAAAGCCATCTTTGAACTAAAGCAAACATGATGCAGAGGACAGTGTTTGTACTTGCTAAGACCAAAGCGAGGCCAAGTTATTTCAGAGCAATGGAAGAGTGTTCAGTGGCGAATTTTGACCATTGATCTTGGAGGGACAAAATAATATATTATTAATAAATAATAAATAAATATAAAATGAAGTAAGAATATGAAAGGGTGAAAGAATAAAATTGTAAATATATACTTAAATATATTAAATGATCATTAAGTTTGAGGGGACAAAATCATAAATTATATGAGAGTTACAAAACTGAGGAGAAGTTTGAGAGGATAAAATTGTAAATATACAAGTAAATATATTAAATTTTCATTAAGTTTGGGGGGCCAAAATCATAAATTACATGAGACTTACAAAACTTTGGGGAGGCCACGGCCTCACGGGAGAGGTGTTCCATACTGTGCAATAAAAGATGAATCCTGTAAAAACCAGAAAAGAAAAAATCAAATAAGCTCAAACTAATACTTTGTTTTCTCTCTATTTTTTGTAATCCCTTTACTTTATTTCAATTTGAACTTGAGGAAATTCACATGAAACCTTCTATATGTAGATAATGTCATTCAAGAGTGAGAGTTTTCATATATTTTTTTTATTACTTTATTCTCTTTTATTTAAATTAAATATTAAGATATTTTTATTATTTAAAAAAAATATAAAAAATATTAAATTATTATTTTGATTTAAATATTATTAATATTTAATATTTTATCATATTTTTATACTATATATAAATAAATTACATCAATAAAATATATATCATATAAAATATATTTTTATATATAAAAAATACAAGTACATAAAATTCTATAAATTTTCATATTTTTTAATAAGCAAAAACTAACAGGATATTGTATGGTTTTAACAATCTCAATATCATCTTAGTCTGCTCCAAACAAGCAATGTGCTTCACCATGCCAAGAATTATAGTAAATTTATTATAGATATAAGCATATCAATAGATAGATTCACTAGAAAGGATTTTGTGATAAAAATAAAAATAACTTCGAATTTCTAAACTTTAAGCTTAGATAGGTGTTGAAAGATTTACCTTTCAATTTATTTTTTATTATTTAACAATTAAAAATTATGAATCAAGATAAATTGGATAATTATTTATAATGCCAAAATATCAACTTGCTTTCTTGTGCAAAATTTCTTGGATAGTCGCTAATAATAGTGTCGACCCTTAGGGTAAAATCTTCTATCATTTCTTCCTTAGATATCACTTAAACATTTTCTTTCATTTCTATCTTTTTATCATTGATTATATTCCATGAAACGCGTGACTCAGCCTCATCCATTAAAAATTAATAATCTTCGTTGTTGGGTTCCTTTGAGCTTCGTGGTATTATTCAACTAACTCTTCTGTCTTATTCTCTTATCATAAAATCAAATGAAGTAGGAAACGTGTAAAAAGTAAAATATCTTCTCTTGTACCATTTGTGTTTCTATCATAAAATGAGATAAAAGAAAAATAGTAAGAAAACAGAAAATTATCCAATAACAAATTATTTTTGGTACACATGTTTCTCTTCTATAATTGAAAAAAAAAGTGGATAAATGATTAATTTGAATCTAGAAAAATAGAGAGGTTATGTTGCACAAATGGATCAGTTTATAACCAACCACTCGTTATTGGGTTCGTATTATAGGAGTGAAGTTGTGGATTGTTGAAGTTTCCATATTATATATTCATGCTATCCACACAATAAGAAGAATAGGAAAGCAATGTAGGATTTTGCATTCTTAGATAGAATTAATGAGAAACAGGAAATAATGGATTTTCAGGATAGAAATTAAAGCAATGATATTATGTGTTTTTATATGGATATGTGGTGTTGCATTTTAGTGGACAAAATATTTTTATTTTTCTTAAGAAAATGACAGTAATGATGTTTTCTTCTACAATGAGAGAAATCTAGGTAGTCACGCATCATCCCTGAAATATATTTTTTCTTGATGAGCCAAGAAATATAATAGATTACAAGGGGTAGTCTCAGCTATATATAGTCTCTACTAGCAAGCCTTTATTTGGCTCTGGGTCGATTAACCATAAAAAATAAATAAATAAAAATAATAAAAAAATTATAATTTATTCAAGTATGTTTTAAGTATGGTTGGTATAGTTAGTAATGAGCTGTTATTTAGTTATAGAAATTTGTTATCAATAAAAGGGTAGTGTCTATAAATAGCAAAGTGATTATAAGTGCATTTTTAGAATTATAATCCCTTCCTTTTTTTTTCTCTCAATTAAATTCTCTAATCGTTTTTTGTCTTTTCTCTTTTTAAATAAAATTTGTTTTTTCATCAAACTGGTATCCATAACCTAGATTCGGGGTTTTTTGGATTCTGAAAATTGAGATGATTTTTTAATGAAGACTTTCATGTTGTAATGTTTATTCTCAGAGGCAAGAACTGATTGGCATGTTCAAATGAGAGTGATGCAAAAGTGGTGCAAGAAGTGCTCAAGAACCTGAAAAGAACCAAAAAGATATGCGAAAACATTGTTCATCATCAAGAATGTGTAGATGCAGATAATTTTCAGAAGATTAGAAGGTGAAAAAGAAAGACAAATACCACAAACACTTAAAAGACTATGAATTATACCTGATATAGAAATCATTACCAAAAAAAAATTTACACTTTATTTTGTTTAGTCCATCAAAACTAATAAGTCTATTACAATAGAAATGTTCAGAGAAACCATGAAGGATCATGAAACAATTCCCTCAAAAAATTTTAATGCAGACATTCTAAAGTTGCCATAAGATACTAACAAAATGAGGAGACACTCTAGAGGACAACATACACTTACATTCGTGTATTAGAAAATCAACTACTTAAATTCAACTACTTAAATTTTGTAACAAAATCAAATACATATTTATAGTTATATGCAGACAACTCAATGTCTGTATCATAGAGAAGCAAATAGCAGTACATTACCGTATGAACCAGAAGGGAAAATGAGCTCATTATTATGTGCAAAAATTTACATTTTACATCATCAAATTTACAAAGCAAATTGCCGAAGAGGGGGAGGGTACGGTGAATACAATGGATAACTCAACAGATATTTACAGTACCATCGTGGGTTAATAATTGTATGAACTTTTGCTGTTTTAGTGTAGGAGGTTAGAAGCTGACCTCCAACTTTTAACTCTAACCCGAGCAATCATCAACGCATTTCCTTTTCCAAATTTTGAATGAATTTGGATTGGTGAAAGAAATGGAAGCTTCGGGGATTCAACCAAGCAATATTGGCATCTACTGAGAACATTATAGTTTATAAGATCAACGACTCACGAGCCAACCCGGTTTAATTAGGATGTCTTCCTTAAAATTGCGGCCTGAGACAGACACTGACTCACCTTGACGACGGTAACACTACATAGGATTAAAAGCATAAGTGATAAAATTAAATTCTTAAAGTAGTACTATGAAAAGAAGCGTAAATAAACAAAATATAGTCAACTAATATTATTAAGGAAGATTTTTCTTCCTTAAAAACATAAACAATAAAAAATTAATTTAAAATTTATTTCTAGGTGGATTGTCATAGTAAACAGATTGATTACCATCTTCGAGAATAAAATTGATAAGCTCAAATACAAGTTCTACAAAGAAATGGAGAAGTAAGTTTAGCAGCTACATTTACTTTGTTGCATAGGAATGCAGATCAAGTGTCCTAAATCAAACATTTTGGCAACAGCCTAGCAGATTGGGACAAAATTTTTATTTGAGGCATCAATTGAGAGAAGAGCTCGAGCAACTAACCTTGTAACATACAACAGTGTCATCAGGATACATAGCAAATAGCTTCGTACCAAGGCGCGCTTCACAGGAATCACAGAGGCTCTCATCATCAATTTGCACATGCCTTGACCTCTCCTCCAATCTTGACGATCTTGCATCAATGTCCACAGCACGAGATAAATTATGCACAATCTGAAAGAATTTGTTACTAAGATCACAAGTCCATAATACTGATTGACAACAGAAAGAAGCAAAAAACCTTGAAATGTCAGATTACAGAGCACAAATAAAAAATAATCTTGGGAGTTATTGGGAAAATTAGTTTGATTTCAGAAATTACTATGAATTTGGTGGTTATATCAATATATAAACTGTTGATACTGTAAAGATTATACCAAAGGGGATCTTACTAAAATAACCATATACATTGCTAAGTATCTAAAAACAGTTATAATTGCCAAAAATCTTACATTATGCTCTCAAAACCTCACTTCAAGAGAACTTTCATAACTAAGTATTACTGATTATTATTGACAGCAGCAACTACACTGAGTGGAGTTTTATTCTTTTTTCTCTATAATGAGGAAAAAGAAGATTAAAGATTAGGACAATCTATCCATCTGGGAAAAAAACATGTCAGTACCTGTCCTTGACGATGATGATGAACTCTGGCCCTGAACATTCTTAGTAAAGTCTCAGAAGCAAGTTGAAGTGGCATATCTGGAGACAGTTTCTGCATTATAAAGCAAAACTTCCGGTGTCAAAATCCAAAATTAATAACCACAACTCTGGAATGAATTAAATATAGTTGAAAAGATTGACAAACTGCATTTTATTAGATATTCCTTTAATTGTAGAAAGATACATACAACACTGACAATTATAAAACTTGATATTTTCAATGTGCCTACAGAGTGGCTTGCTGATGCAGCTCAATTGACTAATTTATAATATAACTGTTTATCCAAAACAATAAAACAATTCATGAGGCATCACCTAATAGTTTCAGTTTGGGATAGTAGATCACGAGAATCAGTAATAAAGACCCCATGACAAACACTCAAGAATTCATTTGTTGCAACTATTATTTTTCTAGATAAAATGTTGAATTTCAAAATGATGCGAGTTGGACCATTGCATTGTTTAATGTTCCAACATCAAACCTAAAATAGTACTTGAAAAACTTATTTAGGATTTCAATACAATGTCTAAAAGCACTATTACATTGTATTTATAAATAAAAGAGATACAAGGGAGAATATGGGCCTCAGTCCAAACCCTTAACCCTAGTCTAAGGAACATATACAGAGAATACAAAATGATAGAAAAACAACATGTCTCAACACTCCCCCTCAAGCTGGAGCATATAGATTAGATGCACCTAGCTTGGAACAAATGAACTGAATCTTAGGACCTCTCAAGGATTTAGTTAAAATGTCCGCCAGTTGCTCATTTGAGCTTACAAATTCAGTTATAAGTTCCTTAGACACTAACTTTTCTCTAACAAAGTGACAATCAATCTCGATATGCTTTGTTCTTTCATGAAAGATTGGGTTAGAGGCAATATGGAGAGTTGCCTGATTATCACAAACAATTTCATTTGCTCATTATCACATAATTTTAATTCTTGAAGGAGTTGTTTGATCCACACAGGTTCACATGTAGCAAATGCCATAAATCTATATTCAGCTTCTGCACTAGATCAAGCAATAACACTTTACTTTTTACTCTTTCAAGAAATCAAATTCCCTCCAAGAAAATACAATACCCAGTAGTAGATCTTCTATCAATGAGACAACCAGCCCAATCTGCATCACAATAACCTAGAATTTGAGTATTACCCTTATCTTTATATAATAATCCTTGTCCTGAGGCCCCTTTAATATATCTCAAAATGCGAATCAAGGCATTCCAATGATCAGTACAAGGATTTTGCATAAATTGGCTAACTACTCCAACTGCATAAGAAAGATCAGGTCGGGTAATAGTAAGATAAATGAGTTTACCAACCAACCTCCTGTATCTTTCTAGGTCTGACAACTTGTCTCCTTTATCTCCCACCAATTTCTGATTAGGGTCCATTGGGGTATCAATGGGTTTACAATTTGTTAAACATGTCTCCTTCATAATATCAAGAACATACTTCCTTTGAGAGATGATCACACCTTCCTTTGACTGAGTCACTTCAATACCAAAAAAATACTTCAATTGACCAAGATCTTTGGTTTGGAAGTGAATAGATGATCTTCCAATTGGCTGATCTTAGTATAATCATTGTCTGTAATAACAATATCATCAATATAAACCATAAGATACACACACTTGCCTGAAAAAGAATGACAATAAAACACTGAGTGATCTGCTTCACTCCTTTTCAAGCCAAACAACAATATAACATTACTAAATTTCCCAAACCAAGGTCGTAGTGACTGCTTTAAGCCATAAAGAAACCGGTGTAGCTTGCACACTAAACTAGACTCCTCCTGAGCAACAAAGCTAGGAGGTTGCTCCATATAAATCTTTTCCTCAAGGTCGCCATGAAGAAAGACATTTTTAATGTCCAGTTGGTGAAGGGATCAATGACGAATAGCAATCATAGCAAGAAAAAGACGAATACTAGAAATCTTAGCTACTGAAGAGAAGGTATCACAGTAGTCAAGGCCATAAATTTGAGTGTAACTTTTACCTACTAGACAAGCTTTAAGACGATCTACTTTACTATTATTATCAACATTAACTACATAGACCCACCTATAGCCCACGACCTTTTTGCCAGGAGGAAGAGGGACAAGCTCCCAAGTGTCATTGTGCTTAAGAGCCTGCATTTCATCAAACATGGCTTGTCTTCATCCATGGTGATCAAGAGTCTCATGGACAGTATTAGGAATAGTGGTCTGAGCCAAAGAGACAACAAAAGAAGAATAGGAAGGAGATAAACGATGGTAACTTAAAAAGTTATATATAGGAAATGGATTCCGAGAGGAACGAATACCTTTTCTGAGTGCAATAGGTCATCCAGAATCAGAAGTGGGAGAGGAGGTCAAAAGATCTATGGTATGAAAAGCCGATGGAGAAGGTTCTGAATCATGATTATCTACAGAATCTGATAGAGGTGTAGGTAGGGTCCTGCGGTGATATATAAGAAGAGGAGGAGAATCATTGAGACCTGTAGGTTGAATTGGTGAAGGATCAAATATTATAAGTAGATCACATGAGGGTATAGGAAGAACATTTTGAATAGAGGAACCATCCTCCATGTGGGAAAAAAAGAAGGGCGTTTCTTCAAAGAATGTGACATTATTAGACATATAATACCTTTTGGTAGATGAAGAATAACATTTATACCCTTTTTGGAGGCGAGAGTACCCCAAGAAGACACATTTAATGATTTTAGCACTTAAATTATCAAGACTTGGAGAGACATTATGTACAAAATAGGTACAACCAAATACACAAGGAGACACATGATAAAGAAGATCATCTGGAAAGATAAGGAAATGAGGAATTTGATTTTGAAGAGAAGATGACATGAGATTAATTAGAAAACAAGCAATGAGAATTGCATCTCCCTAATGATGAACAAGAACATTGGCATTCAACATTAGAGAGTGTGCAATCTCAATAAGATGCCTATTTTTCCTTTCTAAAATACCATTTTGTTGTGGATTGTGTGGCTCGTGGAGCCGCAGATGGAGGAGCAATTGGCGGGGGTGGGTCGCGCTCTTGGAGGCGCACCAAACCCTACCTTTACCATACCAAACTGAGACGGTGGCCGGCGGCGAATGGCAGCCCATGGTGGTCGGAGATAACAGGGATGACCGAAAATCAGTGCGGAATCGTACCCCTCTGATACCAATTTAAGAAACTTATTTAGAGTTTCAATACAGTGTCTAAAGGCACTGTTACATTGTATTTATAGATAAAGGAGATACAAGAGAGAGGATATGGGCCTCAGCCCAAACCCTTAACCCTAATCTAAGGAACATACACAGAGAATACAAAAAAATAGAAAAACAACAACGTCTCAACAATAGTCTTTACATAAGGAGGAACCTTTAATACTACCACTTATATGCCTTAACATAAGAGGCTAAGCTTTTGGGATAGTTGGTCCTTGACAATAACATTAAGCAAGAGAGTGTAATAAAACACTTTAATCCATACCAAAGGGCTGAACAAGTTTTAAAGGGCTGAACAAGTTTTAACACCTGATGATTTTATATGGGGTAATCATTTATTTATATTAATAATCTTAGTAGTTTTTAAGTGCATACCTGTACATGAATTTTGCTAATGTAAATATAACACATAGGTACTGATAGGAATCAGCCCAATTATGAGAAGCCTTTTTAAGGTCCATACCCGTAGGCTTAAAATGACTATTGTGTGTATTCAGAATAGCTTTTTTGGGGACAAGGAAGTCAGTTCGAGGAGAGAGAATTCTGTTATAGGGGAGGGAATCAGAATTGTAGGAGACACTGGAATAAATAATTGATTGGAATTCAAAGATCTTCTGTCTTAGGGGGAGAGCATTGCTCTCATTCATCTTAATACTTTTCCTTGCTTGCTAATTGAATACAAATCGTAACAGGTACACATATTTTCATGATCACTGATTCTTTATCCTTTTACTGCAGCGTAGGGTGCAAATTATGTTCTCGTAGTCGAATATAGATTGTGTGAACAATTTTCTTCCGAACATGACGTAAAATAGTGAGTTTAGTACCTCTAAGACTTGCAATGGATCTAATGATTCTCCATGATTATGGAGCAGGCGAACAGCAGCAGTAAACATGGGATCCTTACCATCTTGTGGATCCAAATACATTTCAAGCAACCTGAAGACAATAAACAAAAAGTAAAAGAGTATTGAAACAGACTTGTTAACTAACTTCAGCAAAAATAAATAAAATATTGAAAGTGTGAATAGGAGACAAACTGCATGTAGGCATCAGCTCTTCCTATCTCAGCACAATACTGCTCGGCAGCTTCACTATCTTCCAGTTTCCTGGGAGCCAACATATAATAATAATGATATCAATAATAAAGAAAAAACTACTTGTTAGCGATTTAACACATTGTATGGTTCGTCTTCGTGTGTGTAATGTTATTCACATTAAACCTCACTATCTTAAAACTACAAAAAATTCAATCGTCGAATAAAATACATATCCAATGAAACCATGTTGATGGCAAAAATCCCAACTTTTGACAATCATATTATTAGTCTGCATAAAATATGATAAACTTATATCTCACCATACTTTTAATGTATTTTTCTTTACAAATTATTGAGAACTGCAAGCTTCTACACCCTAAAAGGATAAATATTTGCTAAAAAAAGTCGTATTCTCTTTTGTCTACAACAACCACAACCAAGCCTTATCCCACTTAAAGAGGACTGTCAAATATATTGATAAAGCATCTTCTTTCACTCCAATCAAAACAAATTTTTCAATAAATCAAATTATTGTAAGGTCAATTTAATGACACTCCTTGCTAGTTTACATAACAAAATCAATATTGCAAAACCACAGCCTTTGAGCTCAAAACTCCCCCTGCTCCAACAGATAGTGCAGTCCTAAGATGAAATCAAAGTTCAAGAAATATACACTGCTTCAATGTCCATGGGCTATTGATCAGAAGAAAATTCAAGATTTTTACTTGCCTTTTTTGGTCTACTTATCATACATTCCTATTGCAACAAATTTTGCTGTTTCTACCTATTTGAATCTTGGAGAAATGTTAGAATCCTATAAATATAATAATGGTTGATATTAAGACCAATTAGATTGATTCTACATTTATGTTATTAGCCTAAAATAGCATGACTGAATATACTGTAGTTATGTATTAGCCTAAAAAAGCTCAATATCCTCAAGCACTCAAACTCTGCTCACAACTTTCCACTCTCTGCCACAACCTCTGGTACACATGGCAGTGGATCCAGCAAGCTTCCTAAAAGTCTGTTTGCATGTCATTAGGTGATGAGTAAGCTAGTTTATGTGTGAAATATGCAAGCTTGAATTTTGACATTCTTGACTTATTTAACCTTAATAGTTTTAGCAGTATGACCTTATGATTTGCTCATTTATGTATGGGTTTATCTTGTATTCTCATAGTTTTCAGTGAATTTATATGAAAGCTAGTGCAATTTTTGAAGCTAAATAGATACTTACAAAGCCAAAATTTGGAGGACTAAAGTCTCCTGCCCCAGTCTTCGATACAGAATAGCCTGTCAAGTGAAGGAAAATTAGTAAAAGAGAAAGTAAAGAATGTTAAACATCCATTTGTACCAACGGCGCTTTATAACTACACCTCCTAAAAGAATATCATTACAAATTACACATATGCTAGCATTGGATAAATAGAACTTAAGAGACAGTCAAGAATCTCAAGATACCTTTTCTAGCCACAATTCTGATCCTTCAATCAAGTCCAGAACCTCTTCTGGATCATACAAGTCTGAGGATTGCAAAAATACCTGCAATCTTTCCCTGACAGGAATGTGAAAGATTGAGTTCTTCATCGTAGCCAAACTTCTCTGTATATTTCCACTATCAGGATTTTCAGAGATATTTTCAGTTTCAAAGACTTCAATTGCTGATTTGGCAAGTGAGAGGGCATACAACGTATGGAACTGTGTATCACTGCAGTCCTGCTCTTCAATCAACCACTGGAGATACCTAAATACAAGGAACCCATTGTAAACTAAAGAATCGGAATTTTAAAAAATCAATGAAAATTTATACTGTGATGGCAACAAAAATCAAGAGTTATCCTCTTCAATAAAATCTACTACAAAGATCAACCAACACCAGTGGGCTCAATCAAAACACAAATTCTCAGAAAACCATCTAAAGCAAGAACAGTTTTAAAGGTTTCTCATATGACCAGCAGAAAAACTGTATGGGACAGGAAATATGTGTTAATGAAATTATGTTACAGGAAATTACTGAAATAATAAAAGACTAATCTCTAAACTAGAATATATGTACTGAAGAATTTACTCAACACAAGAAACCTATGCGCATGAAAGAGACAGGGATATGTTAGAATTTAGATCTCTCAATTATTCCAAGCTTCCAACAAGTTCCAAATCACCTTTCTTCGTATTATCCTCAACAGTCAATACATGGAATCCAAGAATGCAGCCAGATAAACTCCTTGAAAATCCAAGGGTATGAATCAATGTAAAGTGGCTTTTACAGAAGAAAATTCATGGTTTCGAAGGTAGACCCACTATTTCTACAGACTATACAAGTGGACATAAGACAAAATTTTGGGATTCAAGAATATAAAGGGCATGTAAAATTAAGACTACCTTAACGGTATGTAGAAAAATCACAAGTTACATCAGCAACTTCACACTACCAGAAAAAATTATACTTTTTTGTCCCTGGTCTACATCGATAAAAAACCATAACCCTTAACCACTTATTTTGCTTTATCGGCTTAACATTACTGAGGAAAACTAAAATTTGACCTTTTATTCTGACATTCAGGAGCCTGTGGTAAATAAACACCAATGAAGAGGATGGTAAAGGCAAAGCTATTGAGCTGAATAATGTTCTTTACGTTAAGATTATGAGGTCCAAAAATGGCAGACAAGTGTAGGAGAAGCATTTTAATCCCTATTTGCAATAACATATGAGATATACAAAGTTGAGCAAATTACAGGTGCATTAAATTCATGAGCCATGCTATTAAGCTTTGAAAGAGGGTAACTGAATAATGATTCAGAAAAGAAATTTCCATTATTGAAATTCAATTTGGTTTAATGCCAAAGAGGTTGAACATGGGAGATATACTTCTTATGATGATCAATGGAGTACTATTGGAGGAATCAAAAAGACTTACATGGTATTCATTATTTTTGGAAAAGTCATAAGAAAAGAAAGGAGTCTATATTACATATATTTGAGAAATCAAGAACATGTGAAGAGGTCATGACTAATGTGAGAATACAATATGAGGTCAATATAGATTTTCCAACAATTGTAGCACTAAATCAAGGCTCAATTCTTAGCCCCTGTGTTTTTACCTTAGTCTTAGATGTGTATTTTTGAGGATATTTAACCATGCCTTTTACAGATGGCATAATCATAGTTGGAAAATCAAGAGGAAATACATGGGAAGTTAGAGAAGTATAAACAAGCTTTGGAAGCACATGAAATTGCTTATTCAAAAGTAATGCAATGTATGAAATGAAAGTTTAGCAAGAAGCTTTTCTATCTGATAGCAGACCTATGATTAAGCAAGTAATTTTAGGATGACTTCAAAGAATTAGAAGGTTGTAAGTAGTGGACCGGACCTCTCGAAATATACGGAACTTGTACCATTTTTATAGGGAAATATTCCCTATTAATCAATAAAGAATTACCTTTCTTTCTATTCAAGAGTTCTATCACAATTCTCCAAGTTTAGAGGTGCCAGACCATAACAATACTTTACCACAAGTGACACATGTTCATCATATAAAATAGATCAACAATATAAAATATAGATGATGTAAACAATAGAATTCAAGTGGGATGCATGTAATGGAAGATTACATCAAGGGTTATCAATGAACAAAAAAAGTACCACTCAAACTTAAGTGACTCTTTAACTGCACAATTATGAGACAAGTGTGGTAGAGTGGAACAAGGTGTTGGGCAGTAAAAAATTAACAGCAGAATAAACTCAATGCAACAAAGACAATAATGTTGAGTTGGATGCGTGGACATACTAGCCAAGATAGAATTAAGAATGAGTGTTTTAAACAGTAGGTTGGGAGTAGCACCTATTATATAGAAAAAAAGGGTAGAATATGGCCTCATATAATTTGGACATGTGTGGAGAACAGTACAAGTCCTAACTAGGAGAATTGATGTAATGGAGGAAACCCAATTGTTAGAGGTAGAGGAAGACTTGAGCTAATATGATAAAAACTACAGGAAAATTTATTTAGAAGGATATAGAGGTCAATGTTTTGTCCGTGAACAAGATTCCCAATAGTAGATTATGGCATAGTTTGATCATGTACTTGTTGCTGATCCCACCTAGTGTGAAAAGGCTTGGTTGTTGTATGTGCTTGATGGTAGTTCTTTTCAGTTGAGACAACAGATCAAGATGATGAATCTCCAAACACTCCCCATCATTAGTGTCTAGCAGTATTTTTTTTAACAGCTTTTGCACAATGAAAAGTTCCAATATCCCAGTGTATTTCAGTATCAAAAACAAAAATTATCTCAGTCTTTCCAACTTAAGTGAAGGATCCTTCATGCTCAAGGCTTATATACAATTTTCTATAATTTGTAAACAAGAGTTTATTCTTAACGTAAATACAAGATACTTGATTTTGTAATTTTTTCTTCCTTCTAGACTTCTAAAAGCCACTGCATTTATCACTAGACTTATTTTATTACTTTTGAATATTATCCTATTGGACTAGTATCCTTATTTTCAAGAACTACCAAAGGAAGGCTCAGACAACTTTGGAACTATGTGGCTGCATAGTGAGAAGATGATTCATGTCATTGATGATGTTACTATACAGCTACCAAATTGAAATTGTGGGGAAAAGATGTAAAGAAGAGAAACAGCAAAAGGGATTCTGAGGGCATGTTTGAATTCTCTTTCTAAAATATACAGTTAAAAATTTAAAAACTCTTCGATTGCAGGTCACAGAAACTCTTCTCTATACATGGAGTTTTAATCTCAGAGGCATGTCTGTGGCATACGAAGTCAGATTTCCATATTTAAAGAGTGGCTCGGTGAGGAATTCAGGTGGGTATGCATTTTCCAACTGCATGCATTAAATTGAACAGGATTCACTACTATACTAGGTCAAAGAAGCATACCAGATTAGGATTCACAGATATACTATATCAAACTAGAGGAGAGCAAATTACATTGAAAATGCATTGCACATCTGTAGGCCAGGAGACATTTACATTTTTAACTGACAAGAAAAACAGAAGAGAATCACAAAACATCATTTAGCTGCTCATTATTTGAATTTTAAAATATTAGTTTCGTAAACATTTTGAATTTTAATAGATTTTGGATGAGAAACAGATTTTAAAACTAAAAAGATAGAAGGGATTCAAACAGGTTCTGAATGATTTTTTACAATGATGATGCAATGTTGAGATGTGATGAGCATTATTAACTTAATATTACACTATCTGTAGTAATATTCCAGAAATCTAAGTCTAGTATGTAACACTTTCTAACACTAAATAGCAGCTATGTTTATTATATGGTCAGAAAAACATAAAAGGTGTGAGCATGAAATAAATGAAGAATTAATAAATTCATCAAATCCTTCAAATCAACAACCATAACCATCCTCATAAAATTCTTAGTCATTAACATTTTGTGAGTATAATGACAGCAGATAACACAATAGCATACCTCTGTAAAATTTCTACCTTCTGTGGATCTATAGTCGTAACAACTTCATCTGCAGTATGAAGGGAATAAAACATCACTGCTGGCTTCAGAGATAAAATAAACTTTAACAGAAACAAAAACATAACAATGCCTATCATATTAGAGAACCTATTGGCAGAGTATATTCGGCATTGTGTGATAATATTAATTAAAGCAAGTAGTCCAAACTAGTCAAAATTCACATTCTTAATAAAAAAAGAACCAAAACGTAATAATAATCCAAATAATGAGCACAAAATGATGATACAGTCAAGGCCAACCAGGAGAAAGATGTATCTCTCGTTTGTCTGAAGTTAAAACTTTGACTGCAAGAAACTGGCTAATATCTGCAATCTGAAATGAAAACATTCAAAACAAGAATAATGATCATATAATCAAATTATGAAGTTGAAATATTTATGAACAAACTTCTAAACATTCATACCCATCCTAGATGTTGTAGAATCAACTCTTGGTCAGATGATTCCTCAAGAATCTTTGAAGCTTCTGCTGCAGCAATTGCCCTGCCAGAAATAAGGCTTTCCCCACTATCCAAACCAGGGTCTTTCCACAGGCCAGATGAATAATTTCTCGCTAGGATGTGCCAAATATGCACAGCTTTTGAGCTCATTCCTTTACTTGCACATAAGAAGGCAAGTGTCCGTAGGTGCCCAGACTCTTCCAACATCTGTTCCAATTCCTCCTGAAAGGCAAATGTATTTCATAAGGTAATTTTTAAGGCAACCCAAGGTAATTACCATTATGTCAAGCAACCTAAGCTTTTATTAAAAGGCGGCATAGATTTCGACAAGGGAATCTTTTCATTTCCTGTTCATGCTTGTGGTTGACATTCAAAGTAGGTTAGGTTTCGCTTTCTCATGTTCAGTTTGCTTTTGATGCTATTCTCCTTCCATGGAACTTCAAATATGATCATATGAGGAACAAGAAAAAGTGATTCCTCAAATCTACTGAGAAATAATACCTACAACAATTCCATTTACTGCATATTTACATTGCTAATTATGAAAATGTATCAAAATCACTTCAATCAAATAATTAAATATATGTTAGAAAAATGTGCAGTTCTTGTACAAATGCTTAGCTTTTTTAGGGATAAGTATTTTGGGAGTAACACCCATTATTGCATATTTAGGAATTAGTACAATAAATACAGATGTTCACTCTAACAATTCCATCAGTGACTCTTTATTTCTTCCCTATAAATTCAACAATACTACCCAGAACTCAGAACTTCTGCAAAAACAAAAACATTAATTTGAACATATCTATTGAGTAAATCACATCCAATGTTGAAACCATGATAATAGTAAAGAGCACATACCACAACACACCAGTTTGTAGAAGATGCCAGCCTCTCCATGTCCTCAACGCAATTTAGAGCTCTGTAGAGATACATTAGTAGAGTGTCAACTCCCTCCCTGACTGATTCTGTTAGATCTTTTTCTCGACAGGCCTCCAAATACCTAGACACAATATTGACCAACAAAGGTGGTTATTAAAACAAGTCAAAGGCCATAACTATGGACATGAGAAATCTTCCACAAAAATTAAAATTTACAATGCTATTTTGATATGGCACTGAAACCCAAAATATTTCAACTTTCAAGTATATTCATATCTTGATCTACCCAAACTTTCTTCTATAAGTCCTGGTACAGGATATAGGAGCTTTATATTGGTGTCTGTATTGTATCACATACTCGGTGCAGGAATATAATCAACATCCAAAATTGAAACACACAAGATAAGGACAAAATTGAAGTCAGACCTGCTAATGTTCTTGATTGCTGACTTCAACAAATCAGCTCTATTAGCTGGATTGAGAAAAAGATCGTTATCTACTATTGTTTCTACACCTGCTTTCCTCAGAAAAGAAGCTCTTTGGATTGTCATTAACCCATCATCTATCACATCTTCAAGAGGGGCTGGTGGAGGATGCAAACCCCAATACCTATTCCTAGGAACCTACAAAAGCAAGTGTGAAGATATGTACTACATTCATAGAGATTTTAAATATTTGAAAAATTTGTATGTATTAAGCACAAGTAACAAATTTCACAGTATAGCACAAGTCCTAATAGAAAAATTAGTAGTTAATCAAGTATATTTAATTGAAATTCATTAAATGCATCAAATTGCCCAAGGTATCACAAAGTGAATGAGCTTCAGCCATTACAAATGTCTTAAGCAAAGCTTTTTAAGCTAGCATCTGGCTCATTTGACTAGCTTATTTTAATGTTAAACCTAGTTGATAAAAGAGCTTATTTTAGTTTCAAAAATATTTTGCTTAAATTATCTCTATTTATCTTGGAATTAAAAAAAAAAAAAAAAAAAAAAAAAAAACTTGATTATAATGTATCTAGTTTTGAATATTAATTTATTTCTTCTAAATTTTGATTTAAAGAGATTATTAGAAACTGATATATGATAAGAATCCAATAGTTAAAACTAAGGGTCCAGACAACAACACTTAAAACTTACAATCCAAACAATTGTTAAACTACCAGTCAAAAACAATATATTGGGTCAGAACTAAATAAAAAAGTTGCAATGTGAAAAAAAAATTTGAAATAAAACTTAAAGCTGTAATAAAAATAGAAACAAACACAATATACCAGCAAGGACCATCGATTTGGATCACGCATTATAAATGGGAATACTTCAGAAGGTTGCATTGTCTCAGAAAGCAAGAAGTGGTCCACTGCTTCTTTAAAATGCAAGTCAAAAAGCAAAAGGAATCCCACTTGAGCATGAACAAACGAAAGCAAATCTTTTGGCATTTCCCCTTCGGACTCGAGCTCCTCCACCAAGGATATGGCTCCCTTATAGTTCTTCTTCCTCAGAAGGTCTTTTATTTGTTCTACAGAAGGTAATTTCTGATAGCACACTACCTAGAAAGATATGTAAAAAAAATTAAAATTATATACTTCAATGAGCTAGACTGCAACTGTCCAAATTATTTTTAATTTGACAACGAACAGAATAATTAACACAGTCTAGGATCTGATAATTAATTGAAGCATTACCAACAGTTAAATTTTAAAATAACATCTGCAAAATTTTAATAGAACAACAAAAAACCACAAAAGAATAACCACATTAAAAAATTCTTTTAAAAGTAAATTCTAGGTACTTAATAGCTGCCGTTGTCATGGCAGTGCAGCAAGGAGTTGCAATGTCTATCACCTCATGTGGCATTTACAAATTGTGCCTGGGGCGGATGTATTGGAGCATCACAGCCACATATCGCAGACACTGGGGCAACTTCACTTCTGCAACAGGGAAACATGTGAAAACTCTGAAAACTCACCGATCTCTTTTTTCCTATTCAGTTTTTTGACCTTTGGTCTTGTTATTCTTCAATTATTTAATTCCTTTTTGCATTTTGTGTTCTGCCAATTTCAAGCTTTTGACTTTTGGTTTTATTATTATTCTTTTGGTTTTATTATATTTAACTTCCACCATCTTTTTTAAACTTAGTTTTGTGTTCTGTTCTGCTGCCAACTTATTTTTAATTGAACTTCTGACTTTTTTTAACTCTGTTGTGCTCTGCTGCTAACAATACTATAGATTTTACTATTATTAGTGTATGAATTTTGAGTATTTTTTCCTGTTTTACAGCTTTTATAATAATTATTTAATATATATATATATATATATACAGAAAATATTATAATACCAGCCTTCCCGCTATCTGGGATCCCACTTTTGGTGTTGAATCCACTATAAGAGAATGATAGCTATGAGTACATTACAAACCATTCATAGTCAATTAGTCATGCACTGCTGTTAATGTCATAATTTAACATAACTGAAAAATATCCAACATATATGGAATCACATATGATTATTATCATATGGAATCAAGTTAAAATGATGGGATTTTTTTTACAGGACATAAAAGGAAATCAATATAAAAATAATCTGTGTTTTACAGACAAATGAGGCTTTACAGATTCCAGCATCTTCAATTTTTATGGACAAATTTGGCAATTCAAAACATTTGTTTCACTTAACCGAGAAAATATGAAAAGGCAAAAGAGATTAATTTATCTCATAGCTGATTCATGTATTATTTATAGGACACTTACGTCAGTGATACTGAGAGAAAGTGAAAAGAAAAGCTAAAGTTAGGTCACAGATAGGTACAGTTGAAACAGCTTTTTAGAGAAGACAAATTAAACTATGCTAACATGCTAAAAGTTTCAATTTTGAACAACCCCACCTATGAGATCGGAGAGGACACTATCGTAAGGAAGCAATGCAATTTACAAATCAGAAATGAAGGGAAAGGTTAGCAAAATTGCCATTATACTAATAGGCATTGATAGTTATTTCCAATCTCATGCAATCCTAAGATAGCATGGAAGTAGAATTAGAGCTAGATTGCCAACTTTGCTTGTAAACTCGAACAAAGAGTCAGCAAAATATTTTCAAGTTATTTGCAAACTTGTGGATCTGGGTTGAGCAGCCCTGATGAAAAAACACATATTGCATGCCATTTTCACATAATTTGTAGTCTCTCTCCACTATATGTTTACACAAGAGACTTACAACCAATTTCAAATTCTCTCAAAAGTCCCAAAGCTCAGTTTCCCATCGTAGACTATGTTCTCTGTACTGAACTTCTAACCCTGATTTAATATTCTTCTCTGTTCTGTGTTTGAGGATTCTCTGATCTGACCTCTCTGTTCTGTTGACCTAGCTCAAATATGCCCCTATTGAAGCCTTCAACTTTGCTTTGTTCATCAGCCACACACCTCTTAGTGCTGGGTGACATTGTAATGTATACTATCTAAAAATTATGTGTTTACTATATTGACCTTTTATATATACTTATTAAGCGATGTAATGTGGTGCTTAATGAGACTAAATTAATTAATATAATCTAGGACTGAAATCAATTACAAGCTTTGAAGCAGCTATACTTGCATTTGCTTTCTGCATCCAATACAAATTCCCTCATATACTTCACCTAGATGTATCTATGAAGTATCCAAGTTTTTGAGTTGTGAAAAAAAGATACAGCAAAATATGAGACAGAAACATGCATGTAAAATTGCAATCCATCCTTATAATGAACTAGTCCCTATTCAGATTACCTCAACAATCCATAAACCCGCATCCCTAATAAAACATACCAAAAAATCAAACAAACGGCAAAACGAACCATCCGAACTCACATCGCAAGTATATTAATCAATGGCTATAATCTAAATGATTATCACAACGTCCCTAGATTCAAACTAGAACATACCTTAGTAGCAGTGGCAACAACAACAAGCTTCCCATCCCTAGCTTCCTCGCTGGCGACAACACATCGCCCAATTCCTTCCCCACCAAACGGCAAAACCTGAACACAGCCACCATACCTCTTATGATACAACTCAATCTTCCCATCACTCACCACAACCACATAAGAACCAATCTCTCCCACCGAGTCCAACCCATGCCGGAACACCAGACTCCCTCCTACTGGCTGTCCATGGCCGTCGACAATAACCCCCACATTGTCCACCAACAGCAGCACCCTCCACTCCTTGTGCAAAAGCTTCAACCTTGGCGGCCGCGACACATCCGGTAGCGAGAAGATCACACTGCTCTGCCCAGTTACAGAGGAAATCAAACTATACCCATTCACAGTTCCAACAACAATAGAATCATTAAGCCACACCATGGCACTAACAACCCCATCTACGCACTGAATCTCCTTCAAAACCACAAGAGTGCCACCACCACCATCATCCCTCTCATTTTTCCCATTCCTATTCCCCAAAACAAGCTCCGCAAGAATCAACCTCTTCCCAACAACAACTGCAAAAACACCACCACTGTCACTCTGCACTTCACCTTCCTTCATCGAGTTAATTCTCAATTTCTGAAACAATCCTAACCCCGAACCCGAACTCAAACCCAAACCCTCTGATTCGCCGTTCCTGAACCTTCTCCTCGTGACCAACGAAACTCCCTTGGAGAAACTCAATTTGGAAGCGCGATTCGAGAGTTCCGAGTCCACTAAGAACAAAGCCCCATCGGAGAGCAACAGAACCTTCCCGAACTCCTCGATCACCGAAATGCACTCCACGGCAGCGTCGCTCACCGAGACGCTCCGCAGGAACGAAAGCTTCCGCAGAATGGCGTCGTTCAGGGCGCCGTCACCGTCGTTGGAGTCCGCAGAAAGGGAGAAGAGGGTTCCCGAGTGAGTGCCAACATAGAGAACTGTGGTATTGCGCCGTATCGCGTGGGGCAGTGTGGCAAGTGCCAGCGATCGAATCGAACTGGCGCGTGAGTGGGCGGTGAGGTCGAACTGCGCGTATGGCTCTAAAACCACCCGAGCCATGCTGCTTTCAACCTTCGCCATTTTCTAATGTCTAACCCTTGAGAATTTCCTTCAGTTCACAGAGGGAGTAACCAAAAGTGAAAACATCTTAAATAAATAAATATTCACATAACTAAATGTGAATATAAAAAACACTGTTTTTGTATCCGGAAGCGGTGCCGTAGAGAAGATTCCGGCACCGATGGCGGTGGTCGCAGAGAGGTGACGCTGTCTTTGCAGGTGGTGCAATTGCTCTCGATGGCGGCGGGGAGCATCAATTCTGGAAGGAACGGAAACAAAATTATTTAAAAAAACTCCATAGAGATTAATTAGAATTTAAAGATTTAATTCGAATTTAATTGATATAACTAAATTTGATAAAATAATATTTTTATAATATAATAATTTTATTAATAATAATATTTTATAAAATTATAAAAATTATTATCATAAATTATAATAAAAATTATAGATATAAATATAATATATTATTACAATAAAATAAAAATATAATTATTATTATTATTATTTAAAATTGATTTAATTAATATAAAATTAAAAATTAAAATATATTATATCTTTTATAAAAACTTTTTTAAAAATATTTAAAAAAAATTATGAAAATCGATTTAGAAATTTAATTAATTTTTAAAATTTTATTTTTATTTTTTATTTTATTTCTGTTTAATTAAAAATTTAATTATTTAAAAATAATAGATGAATTTTTAAATCAATTTTCGATTAAATTTGCCTATTCGATCGAATTTTTATAACAATAAATTTTACGACTTTCATCTATTTTTTATATATTATATTTATTTGTATATTTAATCAGGAAAGCTTAAAATTGAATATTATATTTGTTAGAAATAATTGAATGTAATTTTGTTAAATAACTGAAGACATTGAAAATAAGAAACACTTCCAAATTTCCAAAAAGCTTTTACAAGGAAGAGTTGAGACGAAGTATTAAATAAGAGAAAGAATCAAAATTGAATTATGTGTTCCTTCTCTTATTTTATAAATACAAGTTTACACAAATTCTAAAACATATAAATTACAGTGGAATTGGTGTTAATTGTGTAACAGATATTTTTATGTTTATTTGTTGTTGTTATTATTTAGAAATTGGAATATTTTATGAAATATTTCATTTAACAAATTTATTCATTATCATGGTAATTCTTTAAAAAATTCAAGAGATCTAGGTATAATAATATGTTAAACGAGAATCTTAACGGTAATGATTTTATTTTTAAATAAGGATATTTACACAATCTCATTCATATATATATATATATATATATATATATATACATCCGAATTTAAAAAACGATGGAATATTTAAGATTTATTTTGAACTTATGCACTAAATTTAATTTAAATTTTGAATTATTAAAATTTTTGAAATAAAATGTTTATTTTTTTCATCTATGTAAAAGAATTTTTGAAAAAGATATCTTTAGTTGATAATATCATAAAGATATTGAAAAATAAACTAATTTTTATAATATAAAAGAATTCGGTAATTTTAAATATAGTTGAGATTTCAAAATTTATATAATATGATTTTAGTAATTATATAATCAAATTATTTTTCATACCACACAGGAAAGATGTTAGGTGCTATCATAAAAATAAAATAATAAAGGTTTGATTATATAAGGTTTTATTTGAAGCTTCTTCATGGTCAAAGTAATTAAAAGGGAAAAAGATAACAAAATTTGAAAAAAAAAAGTCATTTTTTATACGAGGATTTTGATTCCTATAACAATAAAAAAAAAATCCAAATAAACATCAATCAAACTAAATTAAATATTAGGGTAGATATTATAATCACATGAGTTACAAAGTTTCAATCAAAATAAATCATACATTCTTCTAAATCTTGTCATCATATGAGTAATTAGGTATCATTGATCCTAACATCAACTAACATTAGTATAGAATAGGTTTATTATGTCATATATTTTTGGACTTTTTACGTCTTATATAAGATTAATGTTAAAATGAAAGATGTAAATTTACGTCGGTCCCTTTGACTGACATAAATTTATATCAGTTATCGAGATTCAACGTTAATCTACATTGCATATATCATTAAACAGAGGTAAAAGACTTCGAAAATTCAAAAAATTGGACAAAATTTATGTTGGACATGTGTATGTGCGACATAAATTTACGTTGCACGTGTGTATGTGCGACATAAATTTCATCCTTTTTTTTATTATTGGGTTTATTTTGTCTTACAACAAAAACCTGTAAACATATATTATAGTTAGATCGTCTAAATGTTCAAGTTTCTTTAGTTAGTAAATAAAAAATACAATATTATATACAATTCAAACTACAAAAATTAAATTACAACACTATGCTAGTACAAAAACTAGGATACCTAAACTACATCATAAAACAATATAATACAAACAATAACCTACAAACTAAAAATTATTACAAACTAAAAGTTAGTACAAACTAAGCTATTTAAACTACATAATACACACAATATAATACCAACAATAACCTACAAATTAAGTACTAGAATTGTTGAACGAAAAAGATTGTTCATTGTTCTCTAATTTATGTGATACATGTTCTAGCAATGGAGATGGATCTTGAAATACCTGATTCTAAACATGCAATACGCATAAAGTTAATTAATGTTGAAAGCAATTACCTCCGTCCAAGAATCAGTTATACCCGCACAAACTATGGTTTTCATCCAATACATACATAGTAACCACATTCAAATGAGTTTGTTTGCTTATTACACTGAAATGATGAATAAACCATAATGTTATTTTCAAATTTTAAATACAAACAATAATTATGGTGTTCACTTATATAAATAAGTTTCTAACCTTAGGATAAATGAACTGTAAACTCTTTGTTCTGGGTCTTCTACTTAGAACATTAGTTCCAGACAGATGGCAGATCTTGACCATTGATTTTGGGGGCCAAATAATATATTATTAATAAATAATAAATAAATATAAAAGGAAAAAAAAAGATAAAAGGGTAAAAGAATAAAACTATAGATATATACTTAAATATATTAAATAATCATTAAGTTTGAGGGGACAAAATCATAAATTATATGAGAGTTATAAAACTTAGAAGGGACTCGAGAGGATAAAATTGTAAATATACAAGTAAATATATTAAATATTCATTAAGGTTGGGAGGGCCAAAATCATAAATTACATGGGAGTTACAAAACTTTGAATGGGCCACGACCCCCTTCAGCTCCCAAAAAGATCCGCCACTCGATTCCATACACGATTCTAATTGAAAAAAAGTCATATATTACTCAATATTTATTTACACTTTAAAAACATAATTAATGAATAAAAGATAAAGTTATCCTTGTAATAAGTTTTTCATTTCATAACTCGATTTTTGGTGCAATGAACAAAACTAAACCACAATGTAATTTTAAAGTATTTTTACTAACATTTAAAGTTTTTATGGATTGAAATTTAGTTTTGATCTATTAAAATGTTTGTATATGTTTTGGGTTCACAAAAAAAAAAAACATTTTAATCGATTAAAAATGTAATTTTATTAGTTAATCTTACTTAAGCCTATTTTAGTTAAAATGAAGATTTTGAAACATTTTATGAAAAACATGACATTTATCACAACCTTTCAACACTTAAAATAATTCGATAAAATTGTGTTGTTAAGAGAAATAATATGTCTTTAGAGGAACTAGCTAGAACTAGGTTAAATAAATCTAATTTACCTAAGCATTTTTGGTTTGATGTAGTTAATATAACTAGTTATTTTAAAATATAATGTTAATAAGGTCTATCTTTAAGAAAATACCATATGAGTTTAACAAAGGGAGGAAACAAAACGTATCATTTTAAGGATCTTCTACGAATGTTTCATATTATAAAATGACAAGTAATCTCTCGGGAAACTTGATGTAGAAACAAATGGTGTTCTTTCTTGACTATTCATTACATAACAAAGCATTTAGAATGTATAAAAAGTTACTAAAAGTTGAAGAATTTTTACACATCTTTTTTATGAGTTTCTTAGCCCAAATGTGAGAAAGGATATTCATAGGTAATGTTAAATAAAACATTATTGAAGGTGTCTTAAAGCTAAACATCGATGAAAACATCTAATAAGAGATTAAGCAATATAACTAGAATGTGGAATCTCATGACAACACTAGTACAAACAACAACAATGGATTACCTAAAAAGTGAAGAGTATTAGGAATCTATCTGTTAACAATGTAATTGGTAATATTAAAAAGGAAGTTTGTATTAGACAATTTTTAAATTGTATAATACAATGACTTTTGTTTCTCAAATTGAATCAAAATAAATTCATGATGCATTGAATGGTGAACTATGATCATAGATAGATTTAATGGAACTAGTGGGGTCATCCTTACACACCAATTTTATTTTATTTTTATATATAAAAGTATTTTTTTTAATTAAAAAAATAATTTTATAAATATAAATTTATTTTTTATTTTTTTCTCCTAAATTTTATTGATAATAAATTTTATTTATTCTCTTATTGCACTTTTCTCTTTTTCTTTCTTGTATTTTCATATTTTTATCTTTTTTTTTCTTAACTTCACATTTTTTTGCCAGTTTAACTTTTCTATCATAGACTCATTATATCTTGTGACATTTCTATCTTTTTCTTTGCCACTTGTTCATATCCTTCGATATCATGCTTTTACCTTACAAAATAGAGTTTGTTAAGTTTTTTTAGCTTTCAATTTTTTTTTCAGTTTCATCTTTATAATATAAAAATTGTAATTTTTTTATTTTCTAATTTTTTTAGTTTTTTTTTCTTCTTTAAAGACATAAAATAAGAAGTTAAAAAAATAAAGGACATACCCACAATAATTTTCAATAGTAACATAAATTAATTTTTTATTATTATTTTATTTATTTATTATAATAAATTAGTAAATATGATTTTTATTTATTTATTATAAATTAGTTAATTATTAATATTTTATGATGTTCTATTTTAATATTAAAATGTAAAAACATAATAGAATGAGC